AGGGGACCCAGTTTAAAGCCGAGCCCCAGGGCTGGGGATGGAAGTTGTCTTTATTCTGAGCCCAGCCCCAGGAGCCGAGGGGCGGTAAGGGTGGGGCTACTTTGAGCTACCCTGATGCGAAAGAAAGGCCTAGAATTGGGGAGTAGAGAGGGTGTATTTGAGGCCCACCCTCCAGGAGTGAGTCAGGGCGAGGGGTTGTGTAATGACATGGCGGAGAGAAGCAGGGCAGGATCTGATGGAGTCGGTTCTGACAACCCTCCCACCCCCCCACCCTCCCTCCTTTTTCCCTTCTGTGCTAAGTTGCTTCAGTCGTGTCGGACTCTTTACGACCCCATGGACTGTAACCCTCCAGGCTCTGTCCATGGGATACTCCAAGCAAGTGGAGTGGAGTGGATTGTCATGCTCCAGGGGATCTTCTCTACCCAGGGATCGAACCCTGGTCTCTTAAGTCTCGGGCACTGGCAAGCGGGTTCTTTACCACCAGGGCCACCTGGGAAGCCTTCTTTCTTCTGGGAAATGACAATAAGATAAGGTTCTACCTGGCAGGTCAGCCAAGGAGGCAGAGCTGGAGCTTGCCCCGCGCAAGAATCTCTGCACTTTGTCTCTGGCGCCGCTTGGCGGCGAAACGTGTCCTCTGGGTGGGGCTAAACATGCAAATAAATGCAATCCACACCTTCTCCCAGCTCCCGGAAAGGGTAAGCGGGGAGGGAGTTGAGACTCGGATTGGGAGGCCCTAGAGGCTCGGGGGGAGAAGGCAATGGCAACCCACTCCAGTACTCTTGCCTGGAAAAATCCCACGGAAGGAGGAGCCTGGTGGGCTGCAGTCCATGGAGTCGTGAAGAGTCGGACACGACTGAGCGACTTCGCTTTCACTTTTCACTTTCATGCATTGGAGAAGGAAATGGCAACCCACTCCAGTGTTCTTGCCTGGAGAATCCCAGGGGTGGGGGAGCCTGGTGGGCTGCCGTCTATGGGGTCGCACAGAGTCAGACACGACTGAAGCGACTTGGCAGCAGCAGCAGAGGCTTGGGGACTGGACAAGTGCTTCATTTCATGCTCATCCCTAACCCCTAATCTCCAGGGGAGGAGAGGCCACTTGTTGCTGAAAGTTCACCCTGTACTCTCGACCCTGAGGTCATTTTGCCCATCAGGCACTGGGCTGGGGGCTCAAGGCTCACAAACTTTTCCCAGAAGACCCCCAAAATTTGCAACCTGAAAAAGAGAAATGACTCCCCAAATTGGAAAAAAGACATGGAAATTCAAAATCAGTGGGATCTATAACATTTCTGGAAAGTAGTATAAAGCACTGGGTTTTATACAGCCAGGCTGTCTGTGATGACTGTGTGACCCAGGGAGTCACTGAAGCTCTCGGTGCCTCAGTTTTCTCTTCTATAAAGTCTTGATGATGACTGTGCCATCTTTCAGGCCTGATACATTAAGACAGGGACCTGGTTGCATCAGGCCACATTGACCTCAGTTACCCTTATATTCTGGATGTAGCAGGAATGTGTTACCTTTGAAACCTTTTTCGGATTTGATATGTCAAATTTTACAAGAATTCCAGAGTCAGAGTACAAGGCAACCCATTCATTCATGTCCTGCAAGCCTTTATTGAGGACCTACTATGTGCTGGGTGCAGATCCAGACACAAAGGGAACACAGCAGTGGACACATGAAGTAGACATCCCACGGTCCTGAAGCAGCTCTTCTCACCCCCACCCCCAGCCACAGATAGCAGGAAAGTGCACGGCAATGTGCTGCCAGAGATGCAAAGTGCTGCAGGAAGGCAAAAAGACAAAACAACCCAAGTTAACAAAGGATATGAAGACACACTTCTCCAAAGAAGATATGCAAACGGCCAACAAGTGCATTGGCCAACAAGGACACACTACATCCCTTGTTATTATGGAAATGCAAATCAAGATGGCAATGAGATACCCCTTCTCATCCTATAGGATGGTTATAATAAAAAAAAAATAACAAGTGTCGATGTGCAAATCAAGAAATTGGAACCCTGGTGTACTATTGGTGGGAATGTAACATGGTTTCAGGGTGTCTGGTGCTGGCATTGTGGAAAACAGGCAGCTCCTCAATAGCTTAAATATAGTTATCATTATAACCCAGCCATTCCACTCTTGGTATAGACCCCCCAAAAAAATGAAAACAGGGACTCAAATTGTTCCATGTACCTGTTCATAGCACTATTCATAACCAACCAAAGATGGAAACAACCCAGATGTCCATCAACAGATGAATGATAAGCTGAATGTGGTCCATTCATACAATGAAATATTATTCAGCCATTAAAAAGGAATGACCCACGCCACAGTATGAATGAGCTTTAAAAATCTTAGGCCCAGGGAGAGAAACCAGACACAAAAGACCACATATTGTCTGGTTTCTTTTATATGAAATGTCCAGAAAAGACAAATCCGTAGAAGACAGAAGGTAGAATAGTGGCTACCAGGGGCTGAGAGAAGGGGAATGGAAAGTGACTGCTAATGGGGGTTGAGGTGGAGAATGGAAATTCCAGAACTAGATCGAGGCGATGTTGCACAACGTTGTGTATGTGCTAAAGACCTTTGAATGGTTCGCTTTAAAATGGTTAATTTTATGTCATATAAGTTTCAGTTCTATTTTTAAAATTTAAAAATAAATAAATATGGAGAAGGCAATGGCAGCCCACTCCAGTATCCTTGCCTGGGAAATCCCATGGACAGACAGGTCTGGCAGGCTACAGTCCACGGGGTTGCAGAGTTGGACACAACTAAGCATGCACCTTCTTTTTACAGCTTACATAGGGGGGAGAGAAATTAAATGAACATCCATGAACTTATATATATGTACATATACATATATATTTATACAGAATTATGATGCATCCATGGAGTTCTGGAGCAATCTTCCATGTCCTGGGGGTTATAGGCAGATACTTGGACTTCATACCAAACCTAGGAGCTAAGCATGTGAATTGCAGAGCTGCAGTCACAATTAAATGGTCAGTCTCGCCATCCTTGTTATGCTAAGATAACAGCACTGGTGGAAACAGGTGGAACTCTGAGACCGGGGATGGGTACATTTAGGCAGACATGAGGCTGCAAACTGCATACCTCTAAATTGCCCCAAACCTCCTTTGCCCAAGGAGGCGATCTTTCCCCAGTCTCTGAAGCAGTTAACCCTGCTCTGCACACAAGTGTCTCAGTTGCTCCACCTGGAATAGTTGCCTTCCAACCCAGTGGCTAGTCTCCTTAGGGCCCCTGTTTGGCCACTAACAAAAGCCAGTTGAGTCATGGAAAAATGACAGATCATCACAAATTTAGTTAGGTGGTGATAAAAAAAAAAAATCACAATTCTAAGTGTGGTATCTCTTCTGGAGCAAATTAACACAGCACCAGGCACCTGAGAATGGAACTACAGACTTGGAGAATGCTTTCTTCTTCATTCACATTGCAACCAAAATCAGAATAGATTTGCATTTACCAAGCGGGAACAAGAGTATAAACTTTATGGTTGATGCCTCAAGGCAATGTCAGTTCCTTTGTTCCTTATCATAATATAGACCTTCAGTTCAGTTCAGTTCAGTTCAGTTGCTCAGTCGTGTCCGACTCTTTGCGACCCCATGAATCGCAGCACGCCAGGCCTCCCTGTCCATCACCAACTCCTGGAGTTTACTCAAACTCATATCCATCGAGTTGGTGATGCCATCCAGCCATCTCATCCTCTGTCGTCCCTTTCTCCTCCTGCCCCCAATCCCTGCCAGCATCAGGGTCTTTTCCAATGAGTCAAGTCTTCACATGAGGTGGCCAAAGTACTGAAGTTTCAGCTTCAGCATCAGTCCTTCCAATGAACACCCAGGACTGATCTCCTTTAGGATGGACTGGTTGGATCTCCTTGCCCCAAATATCTTGACATCCCACAGAACACCATACTGGTCCATTACATGGAAGACATACTGACAAGCCCTGGTAGACAGGAAATAATAACCACTCTAAATGCTTTTGTGATTAATATATACATATACAGAGATATATACACAGACACTTAAATATGTATTTATTTTGTTGTCAACTAAAAGAAAAATGCACAATGTGAGAGTTGTGAGTTAAATTTTATTCTGGGTCTTACTGAGGACTATAACCTGGGAGACAAGTCTCTCAGATAGCTCTGAGGAGCTGCTCTGAAGAGGTGGGGGGAAACTAGCTTACATGTTTTGCTGTTAAAGAATACATGTAACCAGAGATAAATCTTGATGAAATATTACTGCTACTCACAAAGAACAGATGTTTCAAGTTCATGGTTATACTGTTTTTCTATGTACGGGAAGATGTAAGAAGTAGGATTCATTAGAATTCTTCTTGAAATGCAAAAAAAGAAATAAATAATAACCCCCCAAAATGTGCCGTGGGAAGAACAAAGTCTAGCAGTGAAGGACGGGTGTGCTGCGTGGAGAGGAGGTCCAGGAGGGCCTCTCTGCGGTGGTGACGTCTCTGCACAGCCTTGAAAGAAGGTGAGCAGAGGGTACATCCCAGTCAATTGCCAGGTAGAGATCGGGGAGCAAAGTGAATTATTAAAAATTTTGTGCAAGTTTCTTTTCTTTCCCCCCAAACAACGATAAAACAGGCGCTTGGAGCGGCGGGAGGGGAAAGGGGGACACTTGAATGAGTTTAGTGGCCCTGGACACAGCCGCTGCGCGCTTATCCCACGTGGGACCGCCTCCGCCCCTTATTTGCCCCGCCCCTTTATGGCCACGCCCCTCAAGAGCCCGGAGGCCGGGAGCTGGCGCCCACAGGGTCCCCAGAGAGAGAAGACTTCGTCTCAAGTTTTCCCAGCGCTTCCTCGTCCCCACCGCGACTGGCGTCCCAAGCTCTCTGTGGCCCTTCCAGCTTTCAAAAACCGCCCCCTTCTGGACCGCCGAGGGCCCTAAGACGCCCCTCAACTGCCCTGCCCCCTAAAATCTCTTTGATTCTCCAGCTGTCCCCCAGGCCCGCAGGACCCCTTCGATGGCCAGGTCGTACGGCGGCCGGGTGCTGGCCGCGATGGTCTTGTTGGGCGTCCCCGCGGCGGTGCTGGCGGCGCTGGGCGCGCAGCTGCTGTTCCAGCTGCAGGCGGGCCGCGCGGAGCTTCGAGGACCGCGAATCGACGGGCTGGGCCCGGAGCTGGGCGCCGGCCCCCGGCTGCCGGAGGACGCGGCCGGGGCGCTGCTGCCGCTGGCAGCCGCACTCTCCGCGCTAGCCCTGGTGCTGGGCCTCACCTGCCTGCTGCTCGCCGCGCTCTGCGGCCACCTGGGCGCCGAGATGGCGCGGGGACCGGGCTCTAACAGGTAGGAGGGCCGGCCCCATTGCCTGGCTGGGGCTTGGACGGGCCCGGGCGAGCCGCTGCCCTTCTCTGGGCCTCAGCGTTGGGGAGAGCTTTCCTCCCTCATTCCCTCCCTTCATCCATCTTTCCCTTCCTCCTTTCGTCCATCCATCCCTCCCTCTCTCCTCTATTTGCTGAAAATTTACAGCAGGTACAACTGCTGCTGCGACTCCCCATTTCACAGATGAGGATACTGAGGCTCAAAGTAGGCCTGGAGTCAGCTAGCCCCAGTGTTGATAGCACTTGTTATTTAATGGAACCCTAAGCTCTAGGTGCCTCCCACATCTTGTGATTAGCTCAGTGAAGCCCCCTGAACGGCTGGTACCCTTTATTATCCTCCTGTTTAGTCTCAGACAGGGGAGGCTGCACTGTCTATGCTGCTAGGATTGGAAGGGAGTGGGCTGCATTTGAACTTGAAGCTGATAGAGCCAGGAACCTGTGCCCTGGCTAGGGGTAGGTGTGGGGGTGGGGGTAGAGTTCCTTGTCAGGCACCTGAGCTCAGGGAGATGGGCACAGGGGGTGGGGCATTGCATGTGGAGTGAGGACGTTCCTTGAGCCAAAGACTTGGCTGTCCCGCCCTCCTGGGCGAGGGGAGCCAGGATCCTGGCCCAGGCTTCCATAGATTTGATCAGATGGGCACTTCCACCACTGAATCCCATCCAAACCATGCACTCTCTATCTGCTAGTTCAAGGGGGTGCTGAAAAGCATGCATTCTGTCAGTTTACAAATATGTGTTGGGTGCCTGCTGGGGGCTGAGACCAGCACTGGGTATTGGGGACTCAGTAGGACCCAAGTGGGTCTGGACCACCTTCCTGGGGATGCAGGTAATGAAGAAGAAAAACAGATCAATAATGTCAAATGGTGATGAATGCTGGAAAGGGAAGAAAATGAGGTGATGTGGTGGAGCAGGAAAGGGTAGGGGTGAGACCAACCATCATGGGGATGGGGGTGAGTCCTACCATCAAGGGAGGACTGAGCTGAGACTTGAAGAAGGAAAGGAGGCACAAGATCTAAGGGACTGTGATCCAGGCAGAGGGACCAGCATGTGCAAAGGCCCTGGAGCAGGAATGAGCTTGAAGTGTTAAAGGGGGATGGAGGTGATCGATGTGGTTGGGGTGGGGGTAGATAAGGGAGATGAGGACCAGGAAGTGGAAGTGAGAGGTGCTGGGTTTTTGTTGTTTTTTTTTTTTTTTCTACACCATGCAACTTTCATGATCTTAGTTCCCTGACCAAGAATAGAACCCGCACTCCCTGCAGTGGCAGTGTGGAGTCTTGACTACTGGACTACCAGGGAAGTCCAAGAGGTACTGGATTATATAGAGGTTCCTGTGCTCTGGTGAAGATCTTAGGTTTTTACTCTGACTGAGAAAGCTGTGAGCCAGGAGGGGCGTGATCTGGTGTGAGTGGGTTTGGAAGAACTCACTCTGGCCACTGTGCAGAAGAGGGGTCAGGATGGGAGTTGGCAGAAAGACCAGGGAGGAGGCCACTTCTATGGTACTGGTGGGAGGTGAGCAATGATGGAATCTCCTTTTCTTGATCTCAAAGAACTGGAGAAGAGCGTGCACACAGCAGAAAAACTTAGCACAGGGCTGGGTTCAAAACCATGTCCTCAATTCACACAGCTCTCGGGAATCTCTGTTTCTATTGCGGCTGATAACAAATTAGCCTCAGTTTCCTCATTCCCAAATAAGCTTATGGTCAGTAAAATAATGGAAGTCAGATGCCTAGCAAGTGTCCATATGCAACAGCTGTTTCATGAATGTTGGATGTTTTAGTGGACTGATGTATATAAGTAGGTTGTTTTCCCTTGTGGCTCAGATGGTGAAGAATCTGCCTGCAATGCAGAAGACCCAGGTTCAGTCCTTAGGTTGGGAAGATTCCCTGGAGAAGGAAATGGCAACCCACTCCAGTATTCTTGCCTGGAAAATTCCATAGGCAGAGGAGCCTGGCGAGCTACAGTCCATGGGGTGGCAAAGAGTCAGAGACGACTGAGTAACATTTTCACTTTCACTATATTGGTGGGTTATGGGGGAGGGGAATGGAATGGATGATGACTGGATGGATGAATGGACAGATAGATGGTTGGCTCGATGAATGGTGACTGGGAGACAGATGATGGATGGATGGGTCAGGGGTGGGAGATGGATGGATGGATGAATGAATGGATGGTGAATGACAAATGGATAATGGATGATAGTGGCTGTTTAAATAAATGGGTGGTTGGGTTAACACAGCACGGTTAAATGGATGGATGGCTGTATGGTTGAATACATACAGATGGATAGGATGGATAGATGGATAATAAATGGTGGCAGGCAGTAAAGAATGATTGAGCAGGGAGGGGGACGGATACATGGTGGATGGTTGGGTCCTCACATAGATCTCCAGTTCCCCAGAGCTGGACCATTCTCCCTTCCTCTCCTCCCCAAACTTCTTCCACCAGTTCTGCCTCCTGAGTCCATTTTCTTCCTGCCCCCCTCCCTGCCAGGTCTGACTGGTTTCTCTATGACTGCCGCCTCCTCAGACATGTGGCTCTCGGCCTCTTCTGTTGCGGGGTCTCCGTCTACTTGGCAGGTATGTGCTCAGGATAGAACATGGGGTATAGGACCCTGAGTTGGAGCAGCCAAGGGAAATGGCCCCACAATTGGGGTCAGCTCTGGAGTCAGCCTACCTTTTTCACTCTTGGTTCTGACACTTGTGCCCATGCCTGGCATCTGATCCCAGTGGGGATTCCATAAATGGTGGTTGTCTTCAGAACACTCGTGATTCATCGCTTGTCTACATCTGGTTTGAACAAAAGTCCCAGTCCTTGCTGGTTTCTGGAGATAGTGTTTCACAGGTTGGCCTTAGCAAAAACTGTTTTGATCACAAATATCAGAATCCAGCTTAAGAAGGGCTTAAGAAAAAAAAAAAATGCCCCCTAAACCAGAAATGCAATTTTAAATCCCCAAATATGAAGCAGAGTAAAAGCTAATAACCTGGGTGCCAGAAGGACACACAATCTTTCCTTCCCTAGTTTTTAACTCTTCTTTGATCACCCACACATGCTGGTAAAGAAATCAGATCATCACATTTCTTTGAAGAGACTGTTGACATCTTATATTTTGTTCTATTCTTGAAAAATATGTTGCTGATTCTGAAGACTCAGTGTTAAATCATCCATAGATCTCTGGTAGCCCTATAGACAGCCTGTTTTACTGGAATAAAAAAAAAATCAGCTTATTGAAAAACAAGGGATTTGCTGTTTCTATTTTTTCCCTTAGTACCACAATAGAGAAATAGAAGTTTAGAAGATATATTTAAAATATTATTTATGAAATATGAGCTTAGGGTTTATTGTGGGAATTTGTACACACAGGATAACTAACTCTGCATCACTCCTGTTGTTTGACTTAATAAAATACTCTGGATGTGGGGTTTTTTATTAAAAGGAGAGTGGATGGAGTGACTCATCTATCCGAAAAGATCAGGGGTTAGTGGTTTCAGGTGTGGCCGGATCCAGGCACTCAAATGAGGTCAGAAAAAAAATGCTTCTCACTTCACCTCTTCACCCACTGTGCCCTGAGAAAGAAGTCTTTATCTGTAAGCACTTTCAACATAGTACCTATGACCTCAAGCCTTTTCAGGGGCTGACAAAACTGTTAGAGACTTGGAGAATAAAATATTCTTGTCCTAAAATACACAAAAACTCACAATGGGCACAAAAACTATGTCAGCCTCATTAAGCATTAAATGAAGAATTTGTTCAGCTCTCATTTATATTCTTTTTGAGGTTAGGTGACATCACTCAGCAAGAATTTCCAAGCATGTCCAGCCAGTCATTCATTCATTGCTGACCAGAACCAAAATAATAATTATAAAGACCTTTTAAAAATGTTGAGAGCAAAAAAAGTCCTTGGCCTCGCTTTAATATGCCAGACATAATACAGCGTGGCATGTTCAAAAGCAAGAGTGCAGAGCTGGAGAAAGCCTAAAAACGGCCCACAAAGTGCCGAGAAATCCCCCACCAACTCTGAGCTGCTCTCCTTTTTTGTCGTTGTTCAGTTGCTAAGTCATGTCCGACTATTTTCGACCCCAGGGACTGCAGCACACCAGGCTGGAAATTCCTTAATTGCTGCCATAAAGAAATCCCCCTATCCCCATAGTCCAAGCAGAGGTCCCAGGGCTGACTCTGATTGGCTGAACTTGGGTCATGTGGTAGCCACGCACCAATCACTACAACCAGGGGAAGCAACACCCTGACTGGCCAAGACTTAGGACCATATACATCACTGATACCAGGGAAGTAGGTCAGTCCTCCTAGCCCCTTGAACAGGGTGGGGTTGGGGACTGGACCAACACCTCTCAATGCAGGCTGATTCTGCCCCGGAGGGGACCCTGGGCAATCAATATCTGGAGACATTTTTGGTTTCGTGATAAGATGGGGGAGGGTATACTGGTATCTGATGGGTAGAAGCTACTAAATATCCTACAATGCACAGGATAGTTCCCACCAAAAAGAAAGGTGCCAACTGGACATTGGATAGGGCCACAGAGGACCAGTCCTTGAGGTCAGGTCGCCAACTGTCTTATTGTTCAGATAAGCCAACTGAGGTCAGAGAGGGACTGCCATTCACTCCAGGTCAATCACAAGGATTCCAAAAATCTGAGATCTGGGTTGTTTCAATTGTGGTTAAGTACACATAACACTGGCTTCCCTGGTGGCTCAGTGGTAAAGAATCAGCCTGCCAAAGCAGGAGACGCAGGTTCGATCCCTGGTTTAGGAAGATCCCTGGGAGGAGGAAATGGCACCCCATTCTAGTATTCTTACCAGGAGAATGTCATGGACAGAGGAGCCTGGTGGGCTACAATCCATGGGGTCACAAAGAGTTGGACATGACTGAGTGTCTACACACATAGTAAAATAGGTGTGATGATGACATATTTGTCAGGTGTGGGTTAGGTGAGTTAGTATATGTGCCTATCATAATGTATAGTTTTCTATAATTGCCTTCCATGTGGGGAGCTCTTCCAGGGCTTGGGGATCAAATGTTGAATGAGAGCCATTTCCTTCCCCAGCACTGTCCATCTACGCCCTGCTGCTCTTCGAGATCGAGACAGGTGCAGCAGCTGCCTCCATCCTTGGCTTGGGTGCTCTAGTCCTGGTGGCAGCACTGACCCACACTCTGCTCCAGGCCGCCCGGACCACCCGCCGGGGCCTCCATGAACTGTCCCCACCACACTTTGAAGATGACCCTGTCCGCCCTGCTGACGTCTCCAAGGCCGGCCCCAGGGCTCAGCCCCAGCAGGGTATTCATCACTGGACTCTCTACTCACCCTCCCCTAAACTGGGGGACCCCCTCAGACCCATGGCCACTGACACAGCACCTGCAGTCAGGGGAGGAGGGTGGGAGGGCGGCCCGCCTGCATCCCGCATGCACCGGACACTGTCTGCCAGCGAGGGCCGCTGGGGAGAGGTCACACATGAGATGCGCAGCATCCTGGGCCACAGGCCAGGGGGTTCAGGGAAGGACTCCACCTTGGTGTGAGCCCAAGGATCAGGGGTAGAGACCGAGTGTCAGGCAGCAGGAAGAGGACTCTTGTAGAGATAGCTCCAGGCTCAACCACAGTAGCAGTACAACTTGATTTCTCTCTCAGTTCACAGCATCTCTGTGTTAGGTCCTCAAGGTTGCCTCATGGCACAGAATGGCTGCTGGGGGTCCAACCTTCACTTCCTCACTCAGAGAGAAAGGCAGAGGCCAGGACTGACTCAGGAGCTTTTGGAAGTCTTCCTGGGAGGCCTTGGGATACTTCTGGTTATACATTACTGGCCAGAACAGTCATGTGGCCACACTTCAATATAGAGGAGACAAGGAAATGCAGCTGCCCAGAATGAATAAAATTCTGTTCTAGGCAGGAGGGGGAGTGGAGAGCTTAGAGAGTGGTTCTCTAAACATCTCCATCCATTTTACAGATGAGGAAACCGAGGCCCAGAGAGAGGCAGTGACTCACCAAGGGTCCCACGGCCAGTACTGAGCATCAGAGCTTGGATTCGAACCTGGGTCCTGTAACCTCCATGCTGCTGATAGTGAAAGCCTCAGACTCTGCGACTCCTTCCTGGCTGTGAGCATTTGAAACCTGCATGTGCCGAGCTCAGAGCAGCCCCGGGCCACGGATGCACCTGGAGACCTGGACCCAGACTCCTGGCTGTGGGCCTGTGGCTGAGGGCTTCACCACTCTGTGGCTCAGTTTCCTGGCCTGTAAAATGGGAATAGAAGTGGTTCCTTCTTCTAGGGCTCCCGTGAAACACTACATGAGTCATTCCCGGGGCTTGTGCACGGCAGGTCCTCAATGCTTGTCAAGCTGTGCTTCTGTTAGTTGGGGTGCCTGGTGGCAAGAAAATGTGGGTTGATGGCTGGTTTCTGGGACCCTTGGAACTTATGGGGTTTGGTGGATAACTCAGAGCCCCAGGGGTCTCCAGAGGTCCCGTCCCCATCCCTGCACAACCTGAAAATAAATTCCATGTCACTGTCTCCATGTCACTTGAGCCACAACCAAACGTGCTGCATGGCCAAGTTAGGTTCAGGATGAAGGGAGCACTGGAAGGAGTGGGGGTGGGGAGGGCAAGAGTTGGGGGACAGAGTGTACCCCTTGTAGAGCCAAGTCTGGGATCCATTTCCCATAAATCTTCATGCATATAAATATCACAGGGGGTGGGGATGCCCTGGTTCCTGCCCCCACTCCAAATGAACAAATGTCCTCAGCAATCTCCCAGCCTGTCCATCCCTTCCTGGGCCACCTAGGGCCACCTAGTGGAGGAAGCTCAGTCACACAGTGGCTTGAAGACCCCAGGACCTGTCCCCATGGGCAGAGAGGTGGCAGTGCCCAGCAGCCTTGGGGGAGGCTGGTCCCCAAGCCAATGATCAGCTAGAGATGTGGATGCCCCACTCCCCTCGGCCACATCCTTCCTGAGCCCCCCGGGAGCCTACACAAACCTCCTCCTCCTACACGGCACCTGTCGCAGGGGGTATCCAGAAAGCAAAGGCTTGTGGTGTGCATGAAAATATCAATGGAAGAGGATAAAGTTAGAACAAATGTCAAACTTCCCTGGCGACTCCAGTGGTTAAGAACCCGCCTTCCAATGCAGGGGATGCAGGTTCAATCCCTGGTTGGGGAACTAAGATCCCGCATGCCATGGGGCTACTAAGCAGCAACTAGAGAGCCTGCAGGCAGCACCTTCTGAGCCGCCCAGCTCTAGAGCCTGCGCACTGCAACCAAGACAGTGCAGGCAAAGGAAAAAAGCATGTCATGTCACATGCCTGGTACTGCAGACACGCACCATGTACTTCCTGGCTTTAGTTACTTCTTAGGACAACCCCACTCACTGATGGGGAAACAGAGGCCGGAGAAGCAAGGCCACTTATGTGAGACCACACAGCAGTGGTGATGGCTAGAACCCCATAACCTCGTCACATAGGATCCAGGACAGAGCACATGCCCGGGAAACATTGGAGACTCCAGTTTTCTGAGAACTCTCTGGAATTGGGGAGGCCCTGGGGACTCTGAGGAGGGGCAAGAGAGTTGAGGAGGAAGGACCCCAGGTGGCCATGGGTGAGGAGTGCCTCATCTCCTGGACTGGTCAGGAGAATTAGAAGTTGAACTTCTAAGGCCTCGTGCCCAAGGCCAGGACTAGGGTAGACGGACAAAAGTTAAGGCGGCTCAAAAGAATTGAAAACAAGTGTTCAAACAAATCCTTGTATATATGTGCTCATTCTAGTCATAATCACCAAAAGATGGAAACAACACAAATGTCCATCAACAGATGAATGAATAAACAAAAAGTGGTGCATACGAGAATATTCCATACAATGCAATAGTACTGAACTGTGACAAGGAATGGAGCTCTGACACACACTACAGCATGGATAAACTACCAAACATCAGGCCAGACATGGGAGGCCACATAGTGTATGATCCCATTTATATGAAATGTCCTGAACAGGCAAATCGATAGAGTGTAGATTAGTGGTTGCCAGGGGCTGGGGTGGGGGAAGGAAAGTGATGGCTAATAGGGACAAGGTCTCCTTTGGGGTGATGGAAATGTTCTGGAACTAGATATAGGTGATCCATGCAGTAAATGACACTGAGCTATACATTTTAAAATGGTGAAAGTCTAGTGTTCCAAGAGCCAGCTGCTGCAGACCTAGCTTAGGGAGCAGTCATGCAACCTGTACCTCAGTTTCTTTCTTTATAAAAATTGGACCAGAGACTGCCCTGGTGGTCCAGCGGCTGAGCATCTGCCTTGCAATGCAGAGGACGAGGGTTCGATCCCTGTCTCGGGAACTAAGATCCCACATGCCACAGAACAACAAAGCCCTTGTGCCCCAATTACTGAGGCTGCTCACTCCGGGGCCCTCATGTCAAAGCCGGAGAGCCCGAGTACAGCAGTTAAGACTGGATGCAGCCAAATAAATAAATATATTTTTAGAAATCAGGCAAATTCCCCCAGCTCCCACATAGCACAGCTGTGAGGACCAAATCAAAAAGAGTGTCAGTGACTCCTCCCCAACAGAAGTAGCTATTGGCATTTTGGTGCACTTTAAGATGTAAACAACACCTGTCAAAGATGTGGGCTTGGTTTGGGATCATCAGAACCAAAGACTGACACGATTGCTGAGATGTGGTTTATCTGGGAATCCAGAACCCAACTGCCAGTGCAGGAACCCGGGGTTCGATCCCTGAGTCTGGAAGATATCCTGGAGAAGGAAACGGCAACCCACTCCAGTATTCTTGCCTGGGAAATCCCATAGACAGTGGAAGCTGGCAGGCTCCAGTCCATGGGGTTGCAAATTTTGGACACAACTTAGTGACTAAACAATAACTTCCCCCAGAAGCCTTGGAGCCCTGCAGGGGGCACTAATGAGCAGACGGCCCTGAGGGCAACTAGGACTCCATCCCACTGGGGACCCCAGGGAGACGCATAGAACACACATGGCAATTGGTCCCACTCCAGGGGCAAGGGGCTGGGATGTTTATCCTCTTATCACCCTGAGATCTGTTCCTGGGGTAACTGACCCCTCACATTCCTGGCCTTCCCTGTGTACCAGCTAGACATGCTCCTGTGATCACAGGAGGCCCCAGGCAGAGTCACAGGTGTTTGCTGTGAGTGGCCTTCATCGCGTAGAGACTACTGTGGAGGGGAGGGAGGCACAGATAGCATCTGTTCAAGCTTCAAGGCAGTTTTGCAACAGCAGGCATAAATGGGATATTGAAAGCACTTACCTCTGCTATCTGTGATTGAGAAGAACTATTAATTTTTGGATGCCTGCCAAGTGACAACACCTTGCCTAACTCCCACAGGGGTCACCACTGTTGTCCCCTCAATATAATCCCTGGTCTCTCTCCTTTACTTAAAAAAAAAAAAATTATTTGTCTTCACCAGGTCTGAGTTGTAGCATGTGGGATCTAGTTCTCTGACTAGGGATTGAGCCTGGCTCCCTGCATCCAGAGTGCAGAGTCTTAGCCACTGGACCACAAGGGAAGCCTCTCTCTCTGCTTTACATCATTCCTTTGGAATGATGACATTTAGAACAGAAGGCCAGATGCCACCTTCAGGGAAATTGCTCAGAGCAACAAGGGGCCCATTCCCATCAGAGAATACTTTATTCAAACCCTTTAAAACATATTTTGGTGAAATAAGAATTTTGAAAAGACTTCATGAGTCTTCCATCTTCAGGATGGTTCTAGGTACAAGGCAAATAGAGCCTTGGACTCAGAAGACTACCTCAGATGCCAACTGAGTTTATTAGGATAAATGGAGCAAGAATGACAAAAATGGCCCCTGAAAACCCAGCACACTCTCTTTCCCTGATTTAAATACACTTGTCATTTGTATCAGTTATTTATTGCTGCATAACAAATTATCCCTAAAGATCAACAGCTCAAAACAACACCTATTTCTTATCTGACAGTTTCTGTGGGTCAGGAATCTGGGCATGGTCCTCCTGAGTCCTCCCCTTCACACTGTGATCAAGATTCAACCAGGGCAACATCTGCTTTCAAGCTCACTTTGTGGTTGTCGGCAGGATTCAATTCCCTATGAGCTGTGGAACTGAGGCCCTTGGTTCCTTGATGGCTGTTGGCCAGAGGCTGCCCTCAGTTCTGCCACATGTGGGTCTCTTTATAGAGCAGCATGTATCATCAAGGACAGCAAGAGGGCCTGCAACAAGATTAAAGTCTTGTATTTTAAACTTAGTTACAAAAGTGAAGTCCCAGAACCCTTACTGTATTCCATTGGTTAGAAGTAAATCTAGGGACGTCCTGGTGGTCCAGTGGCTAAGTCTCCATGCTCCCAATGCAGGAGGCCTGGGTTCAATCCATGGTCGGGGAACTAGATCCCACATGCCACAACTAAGAGTTCAAATGCCACAACTAAGACCTGCCTCAGCCAAATATATAAATAAAAACATTTTAAAAAAAGAACAGGCAGAATGAATGATGGGATAGAAGCCTTGGGGGATTTGGCAGGGAGGGGGCCAAAGGGGATGCTCAAGTCTGGCACAGATCAATGCTCTGATTTGGGGTAGGGAGAGAAGCAGGGACCAACATTTAAATACAAGTGTGGGGTTTGGGTTTCCCTGGCGGTCAGATGGTAAAGAATTTGCCTGCAATGTGGGAGACCTGGGTTTGATCCCTGGGTTGGGAAAATCCCCTGGGGAAGGGGATGGCAACCCACTCCAGGATTCTTGCCTGGAGAATCCCACAGACAGAGGAGACTGGTGGGCTACAGTCCATGGGGTTGCAAAGAGTCAGGCACGACTGAGGGCTAACACTTTCACTTCCATAGTGTGGGGTTTTCCACTAGCAGAGGCCACGAGGACTTGCATCCTCCATCCACTCTGCATGGACTTCGGGCTGCAGAAACCTTCCAGCAGAGGGCTTTCAAAGCCAGGAAGTATTTTTGCAACAGTCCACACGGACAGTGGAGAGATACGCCCCCACAAAAACTCCCCCTCAGAACTACCCTGTGAGGGGAGGACCAGTGAGATGCCCATTGTATAGATGGACACAATGAGGCATAGAGAGGTTAAGCCATTGCTCAGGGTGACCAGCTAGTGAGCATTGGAGCTGTGACCGCATGTCTCCAGAAATCTCCCTCTCAGAACTCAGGTCCCTGCAATACCCAGCTCTCAGCGTCCAGAAGTGAGCAAAAGGATAAATCTTCTCTTCATTCCCCTCCCCTGTGCCTGCATAGTTGCTTAGTCATGTCCAATTCTTTGTGACTCATGGACTGTAGCCCACCGGGCTCCTCTGTCCATGGGATTCTCCAGGCAAGAATCCTGGAATGGGTTGCCATTTCCTTCTCCAGGGGATCTTCCCAACCCAGGGACTGAACCCAGGTCTCCTGCATTGCAAATGGATACTTTACTGCCTGAGCCACCAGGAAGCCCTCCTCCCCTGTAGCTCAAGATGATACAAGCTCAGTCAGAGTGTTGATCAATGTGGCCCAAGTCAGGAGTTGGGGGCCCAGGGGACAGGCTCCACTGGGATCCTCTGGTCCCTTTGTGAGGCTGTCTGTCACCAGGCCCTGTGGGGTTCAGAAGGTTGTGATTTTGCAGAGTCAGTGACCTGGCCACGATGACTGGTCCAGTGGGACGCAAGGCCAGCCCAGGTCATCCGGGGGCCCCTGGTCACACACGGATGCCCTGGAAAGTGATCTGGGGCTGGTTTCAGGGTGGCCGAGATCCCAACCAGGGAGAACAAACAGCCTTTGCTTCCCAGCTGGATCAGATTCCACGGCTGGCGCCACAGCAGCCTGACTGTGCCCAGAACGGGGAGATTCCAGGAGATATCTTAGCACCAGGGCCCTAGCTTGCCCAAGGCAGCTGACATGTGTGGGGGAGGGGTACATTTTGCAGTCTCCCCCTTCCCCCTCCCTGCTCCCAGATAGATCATGTCTCCATCCTCAGAGTCCCAGATTTGGGCTATACCTCCCCCCTCAGACCCCAGGGCAGAGGACTCTCTTCCCTCAGACCCCTGTGCTGGGCAATGTCTCCCTACTCTGGTTCCCCATGGCACTGGTGTTAGGCACAAGTGCCTGGATGAATGGCACATACCTTTGGGACACCCACGTGATCCTTTCTGGCCAATGAGCTGTGAGCAGAACTTTGGCAAGGAGCTTCTAGACCAGAGCATTTAATTGACTGCATGGGTCCACCCCCCACTGCCTTGGAGAGATGCTGGCCACCCCTTCAGGTGTGTTTCCTTGCAACTATGGCCAGCAGCCTGTTGCCACCCTGCCGTGGGCATGAGGTGTGGATGAGAAATGGCTGAGATGGTGAAGAATCCACCTGCAATGCAGGAGACCGGGGTTTGATCCCTGGGCCGGGAAAATCCCCTGGAGGAGGAAATGGCTACCCACTCTAGGATTCTTGCCTGGAGAAGTCCATGGACAGGGCAGTCTGGTGAGCTACAGCCACCCATGGGGTCACAGAGCGTCAGATATGACTGAGCGACTCACGCTTTTCACAGCCAGCAGCCTGTTGTCACCCTGCCATGGGCGCGTGGTATGGATGAGAAATAAGCCTTAGCCTTCCCATGCTGCAGAGATATGGGGAATGTCCCTAACTGCAGCGACACCTAGGCCACCCTGATGCCACTGGGACCCAAGGAAGGGAGAGCAGAAAAGGAAGCCACATGCATGGGAGAGATGGTGTGAGCCCGGGGTGGTTCATTTAAAAAAAAGACGTCAGTTGCTCAGTTGTATCTGACTCTTTGTGACCCCATGGACTGTAGCTCGCCAGGCTCCTCTGTCTGTGGAATTCTCCAAGCAAAAAAGCTGGAGTGAATAGCCATTCCCTTCTCCAGGAAATCTTCCCGACCCAGGGATCGAAATAACACCAGGTCTCCTGCATTGCAGGCAAATTTTTTACCATCTGAGCCACCATTGCCTATTTCTTAACACAAAGAATTTACTCTCATTATTCACAGAGTTTGTATTTGCTAGGTCTCCTACTGCCTCAAATCTGTGACTCCCAAATTAACACTCGCAGTGCTTTAGTGCTCATTTGGACGTACACAGTGAAGGGGGAAAAAATTTTTTTTTTTTGGCCATGTCGCATGGCTTGCAGGATCTTCGTTCCCCAATCGCGGACTGAAAGTGGCTACTGCAGTGAAAATGCTGTGTCTTAACCACTGGACCATCAGGGAATTCCCAGTGCAGGGAGAAATTTGAGTCCCAGAGGTATGTGTTCGCAGCTGTGCTGGGACAAGGCAATGCTCTGCCTTCCTATTGCAGCTCACAGGCACCGTTCTTGAGGTCTAGGTAGTGGCATATTTTTCATTTTTGTGCTTTTTCATTGGTGATTTTTGATGTTCGAAAAGGTCTCCAAGTGTGGTGCTGAAGAGCTATCTAGTGTCCTCAAGTGCAAGAAGGCTGGGATGTGCCTCCATGAGGGTACACTGTTAGATGAGCTTTGTTTAGGCTTCCGTGGTGGCGCATTCAGTAAAGAATCTGCCTGCAGTGCAGGAGACCTGGGTTCAAACCCTGAGTCTTGAAGATCCCCTGGCGAAGGAAATGGCAACCCACTCCAGTATTCTTACCTGGGAAATCCCATCGACTGAGGAGCCTGGTGGGATATAGTCCAGGGGATTGCAAGAGTCAGACATGATTTTGCTCAGACATGAGTTACAGGACTGGTGGCTGTGAGTTCACCATTAACAAATCAGCTGCGTGTTAAAGGTGTCTTGAGATGCACAGAAAACCAGGTTATGTATTGATTACTTGAGAAAAATGTGATCAGAGGCTTAGAGGAACCTACTCGTGTCCCCCAGAGCCACCAGTATTTCCTAATTCAGGGTTCCCTCCACTTTATAGAGGATAACTATCATGATTCATGAGAATTCATGGTTTGTGTCTGCCACACGGTAGAGGAAAAGAGATACAGACAGCAGTACAGTTTGATGGTTAAGAAAGCAGGCTCTGGGTTCGAATCCCAGCTCTGAATTTAGCCACCTCCTGCCTCAGTTTCACTATCTGTGAAATGGCACAAAACCAGGACTTCCCACTGGGCTCAGGAGGACTAAATGAGATACTATGCAGCAGATACTAGTGAGAAGGTCCTCACAGAACAAACCGTAGCTGTTACTATTACTACTGTTAGGTGCAATGATGGAGGGGCAGGACCCGATGTGGTCCAGAATCAGGGCTTAAGCACTGTTGAGCCTCAGTTTCTCCCTCTGTAGAATGGGAGTGGCAACAGTGCCCCCTCCCCTCCAGGTTTTCACCCACTTGCTCAGTGTGCATCCACCCCAGCTCCTACGAGCCAGAGAGACACACAGTCAGGATGGAGATGATAGACAATCTCTGGACAATGTGGTGTTTATTACCAGGAGGACACCTGCATGGCCTCCAGGCACCAGAGAGTTTTGACACAAATGACTTGAAGGCACTGGTTTTGGTCCAGCCCCCACCCCTGTCCACTAGGGCCCGGGAGATAGGAGAACCCATCACCGAGAGGACCAGTCACGCTCCCTCCTCCAGGCTGCAGCTCCTCCAGGTGGCCGAGGGTCCGGCATGCCTTGCGCTGCCAAGGGTCCCAAGGTGGGATGGGCTGGGCAGCTGCCAGTCAGCGGACTGGGGGTGGCCAGGGGGGTGGTGGGCGCTGTCAGGTGTGGCGGCTCCTCCCTGGGACCGCTGAAGGGCTAAGAGACGCTTGGAGGCAGGCGGGCAGCTGCCGTCTTCTCCACCACAAAGCCATAGTTGTACTGGGGGGTGAGGAGGGAGGTGAGGTGAGAGTACAGAGTGAGACAGCAGCCACTGGCGGCGGGGGGGGGGGGGGTGCGGAATGGTGGGCTTGGGGCATGAGGGATCTGGAGCCCTCAAGGTGGGTTACAGCTGGGACAGAAGTGGGGCCCAGGGGAGCCTAGGGTGACCTGCATCCCCCCAACTCCGCCCCCTCCCTACTCCCACACCCACCTCTGCCTCAATGTCCGCCAGCGATTTGATGGTCAGATCAGCAAAGGCAGAGAAGGCCTGGCAGGCAGGGGCAGGTCAGTCTGGGACAGGGACCCCCAACCTGGAACCCCCGTCCCCCCGTCTTCATGAAGGGCCCCCTCAAGATTCGCCTGAACATCATCTCCCCTTCCTGCCACTGCCTCTCGCCTCCCAGCATCCAGCTGCCCCTCCTGAACCCCCATTCCAGAAGGAGACCCTCCCGCCCCCACCCCTTGGCCTCCAGCCTCTTCCCACGCAGGAACTCCCCTCTGTGCTGGATACACATGCTGATACGCCCTGCATCGTGGTGCCTAGAAACTCAAGGGGTGGGGGCAGACCCAGACTCCCCAGGACCTGGACTCACCAGGGGACCACAGCTCTTGCCCTCGAATCGGGGGTGCAGCGTGAAGGGAACCCCATCCATGGCTGAGGAAAGCAGATGAGAAGGGTGGAGCTGAGGCTGAGGAGACTTGAAGCCTGCCTGTTGCCCACCCCACCCCAAGAAGCCGAGCCCAGAGGTCTCGGCTCTTCCCAGTCTTGACAGAACAGGGCAAGCCCAGGGCTGGTCCAACCCTGCCCTGGCCTCTACCTGGGGGTACAGCCTCTAACCAGTCTTACCCCCCACCCCCACCCCAGGGCGCCAATCTCCCCACCCTGCTCTCACCTGAGATGCCATAGAGGTTGGAGGCCTCGTAGATGGAGTCGCTCCTCCGCAGGGTGGAAGCCCGAGAGCCCAGTCTGGATAGTGTCCGCTCCGGGAAGCCACCCTTGCTGATGGAGGCAGAACAGCCCAGGTCAGAGACCTGATGCTGAACCCGCCCCCACCCCCGCCCCATAGCTGGAGGACTCACCTCGGCTGGCCAGGCGAGTCCAGGGAGAGGTCCCTCACATCTCGGCTAAGAGCTCGGGGCTTGGGCACTGGCCGAGGGGCCTTGGCCTTCCTGCACCAAATGGCAAAGCCCCCCATGTCCCTAAGGGAGGAAGAAGAGAGAGAAGGGGCTCTGGCCTGACGTGCAGCCAGGGATGAGAACAGCTGCCAGAGGGAAGATGGGCTCTGGTGACCTCACGTCTCAGCCTACACCATCAGCAACATCCTAACGAACACTGCCGGGTTCAGTCACCATATCAGGCACTTTAGACACACTAGCTCCTCACCACCGCCCAGTGAGATCCCAGTATAACTGTCCCCATCTTAACATGTGGAAACTGAGGCACAGAGAGGTGGCAGGAGGGATGGGAGGACTCATGGGAGTCCCTGAGAGTCAGAGGGGTAGGTAGGGAGTTGGGAGGGCAAAGAAGGAAGGCGGGGGAGCAGGCCTACCCTACTCGCAGGTACCCAGGGACTGTCTTGGTCTTCCCACTCAGTCGGATGTCAAAGACAGCTGTGTCCGCGGCCCCCAAGGGCACCAGCTTCACACACATGCGTTTCTTCTTGGACACGGAGGCCTCTGGGAGTGGGGGGGGGGGGGTGGGGAGCAAGGGGGTGAGAAGAGGCAAGAAGCAGGGAAGGGGCCCCAAGATGGCTCCAGATCACTCTCCAGGGTGCTGTTTAAGGGAGCTATCTGTATGGCGTGGGGCAGTGGTTATATCATGAATGGTAAAGTCATAGGAGGAGAATCCACGACGCTTTTAGGAGCCATTGGGGCAGGCTCATCTTTGGCGACATGGAGGAGCACTCATGGGGTGTCCCATGGACAGAGGAGCCTGGTGGGCTACAGTCCACGGGGTCGTCAAGAGTTGGACACAACTTAGCGACTAAACAACATTTATCTATTGGTACAGGACTTGGCAAACTTTTTCTGTGAAGGGCCAGGTAGTAAATATATTAGACTTTGCAAGCCAGATGAGGTAGTAAATATATTAGACTTTGCAAGCCAGATGGTGTCTATTGCATATATGTGCATACTAAGTCACTTCAGTCGTGTCCAACTCTTTGCAACCTGCCAGGCTCCTCTGTCCATGGGATTCTCCAGGCAAGAATACTGGAGTGGACTGCCATTTCCTCCTCCAGGAGATCTTCCCCACCAGGGATGGATCCCGCGTGTCCTGCATTGGCAGGCAGGTTCTTCATCACTGAACCACCAGAGAAACCCACCAATAGATATATGCTGACAGTCAAATACAAATGACAAGACACAGGGAGGGCATGGGAGGCAGGGAGAGCCCGGTGATTAGAAAGCAGAGCAGTTAGGGCTGGGAACTGGGAGAGCAACCCCTGTACAAAAGCCTGGAAAATGGAAAAGAGAACTGCGCCTGGATCAGCTTGGCTACAGTGGAAGAAGGTGGAGTAGCAACAGGAATAAAAGAGGTCGCACAAACTGAACACTTACTCTAAAGAGAGAAACATTTTTACGCAGGGCAGGCAGGGTTCATCACCCCGCCCTAGATCAATCCTCAGCCAACACTGTCATTACCCAGAGCATCGAGGGGGCGGCCAAGGCTCAAAAATCGCGCGCCTATGGTCCTTCCATTCCCTCCCTGATCTTCCCTGCAGAGACGAGCGAACTTGCCCCTCACCCCCTCCACACACCCCACCCCTGCCTTCGACGTGGGACTCACTCGAGTCCAGGGGGTCGCAGACTGGTGAGAATCCCGGCGGGAGGGGGCTCTTGTCCACTAGGATCTGGATGTCGACCACCACGTTCTCCTGTGGATTCTGGGGTCGGGGGCGGGGCGCGGGGGGAAACAGCGAGAATCACTCGGCAGCACGGACCGTGTCCCTGGCATAATGCTCCGCGAATGGACACGGGAAGTGGGAAGACCGGGGCATTCCGAGGATGGGAGCTCGTTACCTCTAGGCTGCCCAAAGGATTGAGGCACAGGAAGTAGCCAGATTTCTGGGCGAATGTCTTGCCGAAGCTGGCGGGCGCCCCCTCCACAGTGCAGGAGATCTACAGCGCGAACGCGGGTCAGAGCCAGGACATTACCTGGCCGCAGTCGCTGCTGCCCCCATTCAACCCCCGGCCCCTAGTGCCGCCGCCTTCCCGTCCCCGGTCCCCTGACATCGCTCACCGCACTGAATCCCCGCGGCGGGGGCGCCGTGGCCGACGACCAGGCTAAGCCAGCCAACGGCATCCCGTTGGCCCCGGGCCCCGGATCCATCCTCCAAAACAGGCACCGAAGGCGGCAGACAGCCTCGGACCTTCCTGCCGCAGCTGGAGTTCGACAGGAATCTGAACTACAACTCCCAGACGGCCTTGCGATGCCGGGGGGCGGGTGGCCCAGGAAACTCTGTATGCGCGTGCCGGGAAAGCCGCCGGCCAATCTTGTGGAGACAAGGAGCCACGCCCCTCAGGTGCGCCTGTGGGAGACGTTTGCGGAAAACTGTCTCGCGTTCACCTCAAGCCCAGCGACTTCTGCCGGAAATGTCTCGCTAGCTGGAAACCAGAACTACATTTCCCAGAATTCCGTGTGGTATCAGCCTCTCCTCCAGAGGGGCTGTCGTCGGTGTTTCCCGGAAATTTCCAAGAGAGATATGAAAAATCCGCAATTTTTGTTCCCGGAAGTCATCCCAAAAGACACTCTCATGGGTTATACAACGATTAGTAAATAATGGAAAGTACGGACCAGCATGAGCCGTGAAATCTTGGTGTAACTTGAGGATTTATTCACATATATACATTAAGATGGTATAAAAGTATTTAGAATGGCTAAGTGCTTTTACACGCTTAGATGGAAAATATGGTCAACTGGGGAACGGAATATTATCCACTCGCATACATGTTCCAGCTTTTTACTGTATTATCGATTAGTCCACTGCCTGTTTTTTTGTGCTACATGAGAGCAAAAAATGTTTTTTATATTTGTGATGAAAAAAATCGTTTTTAACTTAGGATAAGAAAAATTTTAATGTAAAACTCCCTCTGTTCGTTTGGGTGACTACCTGCTCGCCTTTAGTGTGCATCGTGTATCTGTATTATTGATTAATTAAATCTACGCCAAGGCCTTTGACTGTGTGGATCACAACAAACTGGAAAGTTCTTACAGAGATGGGAATACCAGACCACCTGACTTACCTCTTGAGACACCTGTATGCAGGTCAAGAAGCAACAGTTATAACTGGAAATGGAGCAACAGCATGGTTCCAAATCTGGAAAGGAGTATGTCAAGGCTGTATATTGTCCCCCTGCTTATTTAACTTATGTGCAGAGTATGTCGTGAGAAATGCTGGGCTGGATGAAGCACAAGCTGGAATCAAGATTGCAGAGAAAAATATCAATAACCTCAGATATGCAGATGACACCACCCTTATGGCAGAAAGCGAAGAACTAAAGAGCCTCTTGATAAAAGTGAAAGAGGGGAGTGAAAAAGTTGGCTTAAAACTGAACATTCAGAAAACTAAGATCATGGGATCAAGTCCCATCACTTCATGGCAAATAGATGGGGAAACAATGGAAACAGGGACAGACTTTATTTTGGGTGGCTCCAAAATCACTGCAGATGGTGACTGCAGCTGTGAAATTAAATGATGCTTGCTCCTTGGAAGAAAAGCTATGACCAACCTAGACAGCGTATTAAAAAGCAGAGACATTATTTTACCAACAAAGGTCCATCTAGTCAAAGCTATGGTTTTTCCAGTAGTCATGTATGGATGTGAGAGTTGGACTATAAAGAAAACTGAGCACTAAAGAATTGATGCTTTTGAACTGTGGTGTTGGAGAAGACTCTTGAGAGTGCCTTGGACTGCAAGGAGATCCAACCAGTCCATCTTTAAGGAAATCATCCCTGCATATTCATTGGAAGGACCAGAAGGAGACAACAGAGGATGAGATGGTTGGATGGCATTACCGACTGTATGGACATGAGTTTGAGTAAGCTCTCGGAGTTGGCGATGTACAGGAGAGCCTGGTGTGCTGCGATTCATGGGGTTGCAAAGAGTCGGACACAACTGAGTGACTGAACTGAGATCTACTTAACACAGGAATGCCTGCTTAGAAAAGAGCAATTTTCTTCTGGTGCCTGCCAGGCAGTGATGCAAGATATAGATGGGCTCCAGTTAGATATTTATAACTGGTCTCCTGTTTGCATTTCATGGGGCACAAAGAAGTGGGCTTTAGGCTGAACACTTAGAACTGTTAGCATTTTCTGATATAAGAGGTAGGTGGGAAAAAAAAAAAAGAGGTAGGTGGGCTCCAGTTAAGGCATTATAATCAGCCTCCTGTTTGCCTTCCACACTGGAAGTAACAACAGAAGCAGGGTAAATAGCCAGTGTTTATCTCTTGTAAATGCCTTACGGTAATAATAGTCATGGCAATAGTCAAGGTAATAATCATGGCAAGAACAAAGGGGGGCCAAACCCTGTTTGAGCAAAGGATTAAGGGATCTCTGCTCCTCCCTCTTTGGAGACAAGGGAGGCACTGCACATGTGCAGAAAGGCTCCTTGTGGGTCTAAAGTCAGAGTCTTGCTTCTCCCAGAAGCGTTCACTTTGAGATCCATCTTGGCTGAGGGGTGTGAGTACGCCCAGTGGAGAGTCTCAGAGTAGGTCAGGTGTGTTAAAAGAAACCAGATAATTGGCCTGAAGGAAGGCAAAGGCCCGGAAGAACTAACCTATATGAATGACATAACTGGCTCTTTACTGTGCGTCTCCTCACTAGGGGGAACGCCCACACCCTTCCTCTCCAGGTGTGCATCTCTGCCTTGCTTCTGTCTTAACAAACCATTTCTCTCTGTGCTCTCCCACTTGTGCTACGTCTCTAATAATAAACTTTGTACCTACATTTATGGTTTCTGCCTCCGTGATAAATGTGTTTTTCACTGGGGGCAAAGATCCAGGGAAAAAGAGCTTCTAGCCTCTAGCCCTTGCTGGTCTAGTGGCTAGAATTCCTGGTTCTCATCCAGGCTACCCCGGTTCAATTCTTGGGCAGAAAATTAAGATCTTGTGGAGGGCTCGGAGGAGTAGATTCTGAAAAAAGGACACGGACAGCCTCTCTGGGAGACTGACAAAACTTTACTTCTAAAGGAGTCGTTTTATACATGAGAGCAAGGGGATAGCTTACAAAAAACAAGGTTACACAGATAGAGCTGGAGCACGGACAAAGTTGGTAACAGCAAGTTTACAAAGTTTATGAGACACATAGACTCTATTTTCTCAGGATTAAAAGACAATCTGTTTTCCTCAAGGCCAGCTTGTTATTCTCAGCACTATTCTCATGCAGTCACAAGAGCCCTATGTGCAGGAAATGTTTCTCAGGGCAAAACATTGAGACATGCCTGGCAGTCCTGGCCCTTCATCAGTTCCTTGTGAGGACCTTCTCCTCAAGGCAGGCTCGTAGTCTCCCTTAACATTTCCTCCTTTTCTTTTTTAGTGTTGGGACTGCAGCTGTCATTTTTATTTTTGTATCTTGGGTTCAGGAGGATCTGATCCAGAGGCATTGGAAGCCTATAATACCAATGCATATAATGAGAATTATTAGAACATATGAGACAATATGAGAAGACAAAAATCAAGATCAAGCGTCTAGTGATGAAAAGGCAGAGATTAATGCATCATAAAACTGCAAACTGTATAATTCTGGGGGTAAGTTAGAATAACTGTCACTTATTTGTTTCTTCAATTTTTCAATATTAAGACTCATGTTAGTTTTTTCTAATTGTAAATGAGCTTTAATCGTGTCCCAAGGGTACTCAGAGGCATGGTAGGGTAAATTAGTAATACAAAAGTTTGTAAAGTTTCAAAGACATTTCAGTTTGAGTGATAATTGTAATCGATTTACTTGATCTCCTACATATAATAAAGCATCCTGTATTTTATCTAACCAGGCCTGGATTTGCTGATCAATTTTTGCTTGTTGTGCCCACAGCTCATGGGAATCTTTATGCCATGAAGTGATAAACTCATGATTTTGAATAGAATTATATAAGGCCATGCCTGACATAGTGCCAAGAGACACGACTGTTATGAGGCTAATAATGCCTAATATAATCTAACGGACAAAGTGTTTAGCTCTTTTGACAACTCTTTTTAGTAAAAACGATAGAAACATAGAGTCAGACCATGGTTCATCAAGAGAAATAGGTATCCATAATTCTGCTCTCTGTTTCATAAGGAAAATTCCCTCCCTACTATGATTGAATGGCAAACTATGGTTCAAGCAAGTGTAGAGTTTACAGTTTGTGCAATTGATGAGTTGCATGGAGTTTGTAATGATGAATTTTCCTATAGCAAACAGAAAAGGGGGGTGTACACATGCTTGAATGAACCCAGTGCCATTATAAGTGATAGTATAGTTTTGGGGACCTGAAGTATGAGCATGTCTTATAAGGGTAGCAAATTGGTGTAAAGAGGCAGATATTCTCCAGATGTGCCAATGCTTAGTCCCGAGTTGAGGGTGGATCATATGGGGCCTGGGTGGAGACACCATTATAACAATTCAGGATATCATTCTGTTGATGCCATAGTCCCCCCAAATAATGATTAAATCTAATATTTTTGTCCCATTGCAAGTTCCCTCTTCCCATTCAGAGCAATTAACAAACATTTCATGTGGTCCCCAATCAATAAAGGTAACATTCAAATAATGAGATATTTTCCCAATAATTCCCTGGCAGTCAGACCATAATAATGGAGGGCCTTGATGTTTTCTTCACCGGGATATTGCTTCACAGGGAGGTTCCTCAGGTAAAAATAAAGCATTTGTACTGTTAGAAATTCGCCCATGATAATATTTTTGAGATTGATTTAACAGAAATGAAGTGGCAGCAAAAAAACCCAACCTAAAACCTGTGCCATTATTATAGGAATAACCCCACCATTGAAGAAATATAGACATGCAAGGAGGACTTGCACTGAAGCAAATAGGTAAAACCTTATACCCTATGGATATATTGACTGCTTTCCCCTCTTGATCAGGGTGAGTAGGTCCAGCTCTAGACCATGGAGGAGGGAAGTGTTGGCTATCATTAGTTAAGACCAGAGGGCTAGGTTCATTCCAATCAACAAATTGCAACAAAGGCGGAGCAGGAATGAATGGAAATCCAGTATGTATAATTAGCATTTACCACCGATGTACTGGACAATACAGCTAGCATACCCAAGAAAAGTTTATCAGGAGTTAAAGGGGTTCCGGTTTCTTTCAGTACATCTTTAGCTTTCCTTGTCAGATTCTTGATCTGTGCCCAAGGGGGCACGGTTGAGCTGGAGTAGCTTTCCTTCCTTCCCGTTGTTTCTCTTCCTCCAGTGACATTGTGGCCATTCTCTTGGTGATGTGGGTCACCTATTTTTTGTTCCCGAGGGATCTTGGTTGTTGACGTATGTACCGCTGCAGAGCCTAGATGTCTTCTCCATCTGTAGAGACAAGACCATATCCTCTGCCTAGGAGCTTTAATACCCTGGCTTCCAGTTATTGAATCGTTTAACCCAAACATCCAATTTCAAAAATTGCTCAGAAACATTAGTCTTGGACATATTCAAGAAATGTCTTTTGTCTCTAGTCATCTTTTCTAAAGATTCGTTCAAAAAACTTAGGTAAGTAAAGTAAGAGGTAAATATTCTTTTGGGCCATATTTTGTATAGAGTATTCCCTCTTTTAATTTATTTAAGGTTAATTTAAGGGTCTTATGGGCCCGTTTGATAATGGGGTTATAAGGGATTTCACGAAGATGAAGGATGTTCTAATCCAAAAGAAAGGTCGTAAAAGCTTTTGAAGTAAAAGTGGGACCGTTATCAGTTTTCAAGGTATGAGGTAGGCCCATCATTGAAAAAAGCGGACAGTAAACCCTGGATAGTTGCTTTGGTTGACTTAGAAGAGGCAGGAACAGCCCAAATGAAACTTGAAAGAGTGTCAATTACAACAAAAAGCAGAGAGGTACGGGGTAAAGAAAAGTGGGTAAAATCAGCTTGCCATAATTCATTAGGATGGAGGCCACGAGGATTAGCTCCTGATGGTGACATCTGTTGATGTAATGGGTAACATACAGAATAAGATCGCACAATATTGCGAGCCGTAGATAAAGGAATATGATGGTGGCCACGTAGGCGGTTAGCATTGGTATGAAGAAGCTCATGTTCTTCTTTTGGAGAGGAGAAGAAAGCATTTATTAATTTATTAACCTTATTGTTTCCAGCTGTCAAAGGTCCAGGAAGGCCTGAGTGAGCACGGATATGTGTAATATAGAAAGGGCATAAACATGATTGAATGAGAGTCTGAACAGACAAAAACAATTGAGTCAATTCCAAATCGGAAGAAGAAAGTGGGGCTGTGACAAAATTAGGAAACACGGAGGCAATGTATAGTGAATATGTAAGTACATTAAAGGGGGAAGGCTTGCACTCTAGTAGAAGATATAAAGCATAAAGTTTAGCTCTCTGAACAGAGGAAAAAGGACTTTTTATTCATTTTGTCCAGTGAGGACCCGCTATTCCAGAATATCTTTGTTTACTTCCATCTATGTAATAGGTAGGTGCTTCTGGAGTAAGGGTTTCAGATATGATGGAGTTGTTTTTAGAAAGTCCCAAAGTTTACCTTTAGGCAAATTTGGAAGTAAAGTCCCTTGGAAATTAGAAAAGGCAATCTGTATCATAATGTTATTTTGTAATGCTGCATTAAAGTCTAACTTTGAAATAGGGATGTATATACCATCAGGATTATATCCAGTTAATGTCTGTGTATGAGCATGGCCCTGATGGACAATAGTACTAATAAGCTCAAAGTAAGAGACAATTTTCTTGGCCTGTTTTGAATGGAGATATACCCATTTTAATGGAGAGGTTTCTTTTTGTGATATAACAGCAGTAGGAGATCTAATAATGGGAAAAACATATAAAAAATTAGAAGATTAGGTTGAACACGACGAACGAAGGCTTTAACAATACGTTTTTTTACTAATTTTAATTTTTGTTTCGCCTCAGAGGTCAGGTGGCGAGAACTATTTAAGTCTGAAGGTCTTTCTAGGGTTTTAAAAAGATTTTGCAAAGCATATGTGGGAATGCCCAGGGAAGGTCACAACCAATTAATGTTGCCTAACAATTTTTGAAAATCATTTAAAGTCTTTATGAAATCCATTCTAATGGACATTTTTTTGTGGTTTTACTTTGTTTTTTGTTAACAGATAATCTAAATAATTAAAAGGTTCTGTACATTGGATTTTTTCTTCTGATATGAAGATTAAGCCATGATTTTGTAACTGCTGAACGGTGTTTGAAAAAATCTTGTCTAATTGGAGCTGTGAAGTGTTGGCCAACAGAATATCATCCATATAGTGTATAATATAAGCATTAGGGTATGTGTCCCTCATGGGTTGCAAAGTTTGGGCAACAAGATATTGGCAGATGGTGGGGGAATTCTTCATACCTTGAGGTAAAACTTTTCAATGATATCTCTGAACAGGATAAATATTATTTGTCGTGGGAACAGAAAAGGCAAAATGTTGTCTATTTTCCTCATGAAGAGGCAGTGTAAAAAAGCAGTCTTGAAGATTTATAATGATAACAGGCCAATTTTTTGGAATCATAGCAGGATTTGGAAGACCAGGCTGCAATGCTCCCATGGTTACCATGGTGTCGTTAACAGTGCGCAGGTCAATAAGCGTTCTCTATTTACTTGACTTCTTTTTAATGACAAATACAGGAGAATTCTATGGAGAAAAAGAAGGTTCAATTCTCCCATAATTCAATTGTTCCTTCATTAAATCCTTTAAAGCGGCTAATTTTACTGTAGTCAGGGGCCACTGGGCAGTCCACATAGATTCATTAGATCTCCATTGTAGATGTAGCGGCGATAACTCAGTGGCCCTGATCAAAAAGGTTCATTAAGTACAAGTCTTGCTTTAGTTTGTTGTAAGAAATTTTGGCCCCAAAGATTAATAGGAACTTCAGTAATATAGGGTTTTATATAAACTGTAATTTGGTCTGGACCATGAGCTTGTAAATAGGAAACATTTTTAGAAGTGGTTAAAGAATTAGCTTCTTTTACATCAATTATTCTATTAGAAGCTGGTCATATGGGCCATTCTGGGGGCCATTCAGAGCGGCGTATAATGGAGATAGATATTCGCTCCAGTGTCTAACATATCTTCAAAAATTTTTCCCCGAATAGTAAGTCGTAATATGGGTTTTTCCAGTTCGTGTAAAAAAGTAGTTAATCCTGCAGTAATGTTAGTGCTGCCGAAACCCCCCGTTCTGGTAGTAGTGGAAGTCTTTTGTGGTTTTATATATGGTAGGAGAAGCAATTGAGCAAACTTATCACCTTTTTGTAAATATAAATTCCGGATGACTTGAACCATTATTGAAATTTTCCTTATGTCATCTTTATCAATAACTCCAGTCATGACCGTGAGACCTTGCATGGTACAGCTGCTGCGACTTAAAATCAGTCCCATGGTCTGAGATGGTATCAGGCCATAATAATCAGTGTTGATTTTATAAGGGGAATTTATTACCAAAAGTTCCATATCTTTAGGACAAGGAATATCAACACAAGCACTACGTTGTGTAGCTGCCTGCAACTGAAGAATATTAGGAGGATTCCCTTCTCTGTGTGCAGGGCTGAAGGGTAGCCCCGTTTTTAGTTTTCCAACTGGTAATCTTTTTTTGTAATAGTGGATTCCCCGCTTTGTCATATTTTGACTTGTATTTATTTAGCTAATGATGTCCTTTTTTGCATCGTGGGCAAGGTCTGGGAGGTTTCCCTTTCTCTTTGAAATTTATAGCAGTAGGAGGCTGCCTTGGTCTAATGGGGAGATGGCACTGCTTTTTTATATGGCTGGGCTTCCTGCAATTAAAACATTTTAAATTTATAACCTTTTGTGCAGCGAGAGTTTTCATGGTTGCAGCTTTAGCCCTATGCTGAATGGAGCCAATGTTTCGACAGGCTTTCATATAATCTATAATAGATCTGGTTTCTCGAATTGGCCGGATTACATTTTGATAATCCTCATTAACATTTTCAAAGGCCAAATGTTTTAGCAACCTCTGCGGCAAATTAGCATCCTTAATGGATTTCTTTATAACGTCTTTAAGTTTTCCTAGAAATTGGGCGTATTCTTCCCGTGGCCCTTGAAATATTTTAACAAAAGACCCATCAGACAGAGCACTGTTAACCTTTGCCCAGGCATGCAAGGCAACCTCCTTTATCCGATATACCATGGGTGGGGCAGTATTCTGTAATTGAGCCCCTACCTTAGCCATAGTGCCAGTTCCTGTTAAAATGTCAGAAGTAAATTGAGCAGGATTTCTAAGACTTTGTCGTCCCTGTAAAATTTCTTTCGCCTCATCGTTAACCCACATTTGCCAGGAGTCAAAACCATTTTACCTACCGCTGCAAAGTCGGCAGGAAGCCAATGATCCGCCCAATTCCGAAGGAATTCAAGACAGTATGGAGAAGTGGGCCCATAAAGAGTGCATGCTTTTTTGAAAGCAGAAACTAAAGTAAAATCAGCAGGGTTCCAGGTAACATGACCTGGTTGTGGTTGGTTAAATACAATGGGGAATGCGCATTTAATTAGGTCAAAGCATCAAGGGAAACGTGCGAAGGGAGCGTTAGAGCAGGAGCGGAAGGAAGAGTGGGGCTAGGGAATTCCTTCGGCAGTGGGGGAAAATGACTTTCGGTTTTAGGAGACCAAAAATCACAAACAGCAGATGGCTGTTTGTTCTCATGGCCAACATCAGTGGGTCCCTTCTGATTAAAAAGAACATTCTTATGATGTAAAGCACCTTGCATATCCTTTTCATCTAATTCATATTCATGTAAAGATTGCACCGTTTCTACTTCTACAACAACCCTTTTGCCATCAGGTTGTTTGATAATGGTCTGAACCAATGCCTAAGTAACCGATCACAGGGGAGGAATTTGAGCATCTTGGCGATATGCAGTTAAGACATTGTTTTGGACATGTTGCCATACCTGTTTATCTAAAGTCCCTTCCTCAGGAAAACCAGGGATTGTATTCTAAAACAAGCTGATAACACTCAGTCAACTGATCAACAGAAATGTTAGTGCCGAATTGCTTCAGAAAATGATGCATAAGTGAAACAAAAGGTATCTTACTTGCCTGGTGTCCCATTGTCTGCTTACCTCCTTCTGCAGGAATCTTTCTCCGTGTTCAACTTGTCGTGACTTCGAGGTCCCACGTTGGGCGCCACTTGTGGAGGGCTCGGCGGAGTAGATTCTGAAAAGAGGACACTGACAGCCTCTCTGGGAGACTGACAAAACTTTACTTCTAAAGGAGTCGTTTTATACATGAGAGCAAGGGGATAGCTTACAAAAAACAAGGTTACACAGATAGAGCTGGAGCACGGACAAAGTTGATAACAGCAAGTTTACAAAGTTTATGAGACACATAGACTCTATTTTCTCAGGATTAAAAGACAATCTGTTTTCCTCAAGGCCAGCTTGTTATTCTCAGCACTATTCTCATGCAGTCATAAGAGCCCTATGTGCAGGAAATGTTTCTCAGGGCAAAACATCGAGACATGCCTGGCGGTCCTGGCCCTTCGCCAGTTCCTTGTGAGGACCTTCTCCTCAAGGCAGGCTCGTGGTCTCCCTTAACAATCTCCCTTCACGCCACTGCTCACTGATGCCTCACCGAGATCGTAGCTCCTTAAGAGATAACATTTCTTTCTCAATCCCATGAGGGGTCATTATGACCCACTACTCACCTTATAATGCAGATGTGAACTATGTAAACTGTCAAAACCATGACTCAAAAACAGTACAACTGTTCTGTGACCTCTAATGCCTGGAACAGTCCTCAGAACTTTCTGAAATCTCTCAGCTTACAATTTCAAGACTATAGGGTCCCCTTGAGGTGCCCCATTATTCCCACTGCTTAGGAGAAATCTGATTCCCAACTCAGAAGTTCCCCAGGTGGAATCTGAAGCTGGCCCCCACGCACAGAAGGCAAGGACAAACCAAAGAAAGAGGCAGAACTCTCCAGATTGGTGGTGGTTGTTTTTATTGTCCACAGGGGGCTCATCATGTATTATTTTAAACTGGCCTATGGTGGTGGCCTGACAAAAAGGGATGAAGTCACAGTGGCCACACTGCCCTGGTTGCATCCTGTTTTTTCCCTTACGGTGATATCATGTTTTTCCCGGCTGGTGCCAGTTTCTCAAGGCTACGTGACCACCCAAGTGTGAGACGCCTCCAGCTCCATGATCACAAGACCCCAGCTGCGGGCTAAAGATAAACTAAGGCCCCCTCCCTTTGGGTCACAATTTCCCATCTATAAGCTATAAGAACGGTTGGCTACAGAGGGTGCACTGGTTTTTCTCTAAAGCCAGTCACTTTCTCTCTTCCTGTAATAAATCTTTCTCTGTCTGAATGCCCGGCTTGCTCTTTCTCTGCACTTGCCTTACAGTTGTTCAGCCACTAAGTCGTGTCCAACTCTTTGTGACCCCTTGGACTGCAGCACGCTAGGCTTCCCTGCCTCTGTTGTCTCCCAGAACTTGCTCAAACTCATGTCCATTGAGTTGGTGATGCCATCTAACCATCTCATCCTCTGTCATCCCAGTCTCCTCTTGCCCTCAATCTTTCCTGTCGTGGTTGGGGCATGGGTTGGAAAAGAATTTCCAGACGTGAGACAGAATGAGAGGGAAATAAAGTTTATTAGAATGGGAGACGCTGTTAGAACAGCAGCGTCTCATTCAACCGACTTTGAATGGGGGTCCTTAGTCCACTTTTATACCCAGGTTACAAGGAGTGGGATGGGGTCTTGAGGGTCATTTGCTGATTGGATATGGCATGTATACTGGATGGGGGGAAGAGTAAGGCAAATACTTCCTCCCTATGGGGCAGGAGGGGAGACAAGTTATACTGTTCCTTTAATAGTTACAACATGGGGGAGGGAAGGATGATAAGAGTCTGGTTTTTCCATTCCTGCATTCCAAGACCCTTTCATCCTTGGGTCACCACATTTCCCAGAATCAGAGTCTTTTCCAATGAGTCAGCTCTTCTGATCAGGTGGCCAAAGTATAGGAACATCAGCTTCAGCATCAGTCCTTCCAGTGAGTATTCAGGGTTGATTTCCTTTAGGACTGACTGGTTTGATCTCCTTAGTGTCCAAGGGACTCTTAAGAGTCCTCCAGCACCAAAATTCAAAAGCATCAATTCTTTTTTTTTTTTTTTTTGACAGGAAATAGCATTTATTGGTGAGCGTGATTAAGGAAGGAACAGAGCTGATGCTCATGAGTGCAGGGCCCGCCATTTGTCCAGGGGACCACGATTAGGGATGTACTTGACCCCACAGCCGTCCGGGATGAGTCGCTTTTCTGCCACCATGTTCTCAAATTCATCCGCATTGAACTTGGTAAATCCCCACTTCTTGGAGATGTGGATCTTCTGACGGCCAGGGAACTTGAATTTGGCTCGGCGGAGGGCTTCAATCACATGCTCCTTGTTCTGCAGCTTGGTGCGGATGGACATTATGACCTGGCCAATGTGGACCCTGGCCACTGTGCCCTGGGGCTTTCCAAAGGCACCGCGCATACCTGTCTGGAGTCTAGATTGAGAAACAGCAGGCCAGTCATGAATGCCCACTAGGAAGAGTTGTCTCCAAGGTCCCTTAGGGCTACCTGTACAGGCAACAGGTTGCATACACTACCAAGGAGGCTGCTGTTTGCAGCCATTGCACACTGGGCCCCCATGGGGAAAAGAGCACAGTCGGCTTAATTGGCTGCAAACAAAAGCATCAATTCTTTGGCGCTCAGCCTTCTTTATGGCCCAACTCTCACATCCATACATGACTACTGGAAAAACCACAGCTTTGACTATACGGACCAGATTGGTAGGTGGCAGGTTTAATAAACAAGTGAACTTATTTAAGAGTTTTGTCTTCAGTTCAGTTCAGTTCAGTCGCTCAGTCAGACAGTCAAACTGTCAGACAGTTTGTGACCCCATGAACTGCAGCACACCAGGCCTCCCTGCCCATCACCAACTCCCGGAGTTTACCCAAAGTCATGTCCATTGAGTCAGTGATGCCATCCAACCATTTCTTCCTCTGTCGTCCCCTTCTCCTCCTGCCCTCAATCTTTCCCAGCATCAGGGTCTTTTCAAATGAGTCAGCTGTTCGATCAAGTGAAGCTCCAAAGTACTGGAGCTTCAGCTTCAACATCAGTTCTTCCAATGGGCACCCAGGACTGATTTCCTTTAGGATGGACTGGTTGGATCTCCTTGCAGTCCAAGGGACTCTCAAGAGTCTTCTCCTGACTCTCCAACTCTCACAGCCATACATGACTACCGGAAAAACCATAGTCTTGACTAGATGGACTTTTGTTTGTCTTAGGCATTCACTAATGAGTAAGATCTGGAGAAGGAAATGGAAACCCATTCCAGTATTTTTGCCTGGAGAATCCCATGGACAGAGGATGTTGGCAGGCTATAGTCCATGTGGTCGCAAGAGTCGGACACAGTTTAGCGACTAAAGAGAGAGAGAGAATGAGTAAGATCTCCACACTGAGATAGGAAAGGGGCAGGATACAACTTTGGAAAGAATGACATAGCCATTGGGCCACAGCATAAACTGGTTAGAACCAGCTAGGTCCAAGGTGGTGGATGGGTCAGCTTCCACTAGACCTTGAGCCTCACTATATGCTCATTGTAATACATCCCCAAGCTAAATGACATTCCCACCAGCCACATCGACAATCTCTTGTGAGACTGACCATAAGAGGAGGAGAAATGGGTGGTGGCCCAACTCCGAGAAATTCCTGTCCCTTCCCCAAAATAGTTGGAAGACTCCTCTGACTCATGAGCCTACAAAATTACCCATCCTTATAAAAACTGACAACCCCGTACTGTGGGACTTCTTGCCTTCTGAGATGGCCCACACTCTGTCTATGGAGTGCTTATCTCCCTGAGTAAACCTTCTTTCACTTTACTAAGGCTAGCTCTTGAATTCTTTCCTGTGTAAAGCCAAGAATGCATACTTGGTAGACATCCCAAGGACTCAGCTGAGAGCTGGGAGATGTGAGGTCCTCTCCCACCCCACCTTCTTTCCTGCCACAATTCTTCTCACCAGAATCTTGTCAACCACAAATTGGTGCTTGCCCAGGGCGTTTGCCATCTGAATCCTGCAGATGCAGCTGCTGCAGCAGCTGTTGAAATACCCTGAAGGCACTTTGTGCTCCAGGGAAACTGGTGGAACAGATCCTTAGATAGTTAAGATATTTTCAGGAATTGATTTCATGATCCCAATCCTTACATCTCCTCATATGTAGAAAAGCACTGAATCTCTTCATGGTGACATCAGCTCCTCATGACTAACAGAAAACCTTTTGTAAAATAAGTGCCAAATATATTGACCTTCCCCCAACTCCAACCTCTTTGGAACAGTTTTATAGAGCTATCTGAGATGCTGTCTCCTGGACTGAAGCCTTCATTTTGCCCCAAATAAAACATTTCATGCAACTCTCACTGCATCTTTATTCGTCCGCAGTCATGGCAACCAACGAAGCAAACCGGAGTTGACTTTCCTCCTTTATCTGAACTCTAGGAGGAACTGGAGCTTTGGTACCTTTGATGCCAGCAGTGGTCCCTTGGGCCCATCTGCCTCCTTGGGGAGTAAAGACAAATTTAGGCAGGTCTCCCCTGGTTCTCAGATCTCCCATATTGGGGCCTGACATACACTGGGGAATACCCACCCGGTGGAAAGGAACTGGATGGGGCTTATTTGAAAGATACTGAGGAATACCTACCCAGTTGAAAGATATTGGGCAGGGGTGGGGAGGCTTATTTAAAGGTATCAAGAGAATACCCATCCAGAGGAATGGTACTGGGTGGGGCCTGGTTCAATGATACCAGGGGAATGCCCACCCAGTGGAAAGGTACTGGGGAGAAGGGGAGAATTTGTCTGGATAGAAGCAAAGAGCGAATTTTATCCATGATAAATACAACTTAAAATGGGAAAGAGAACCTCTCAAACACAGAAACCAGGATCATCAGAAGACAGCCTCTAACACTCCTGCCAGGGTTATGTGCATACAAAGTTTATACCTGCAAGAACCTACTTAATTGGGGAAATTATGCTAAAGGAGATCTCAACCTCAAGTGTCCAGACTGGGAGTTCTTTTGATATTCCAAAATATCAACTGCGTACACAGTTAAAAAAAAAAAATCCAGTCATAAGATCAAACAGACTAAGAGGAATGCTTACCGTAGTATTTAGAAGATTCTAAAAGAGGAAACGATAGAGTAACTTCTTTGTAAGAAACCAACAAGAAATTGCTTGAAACTCTATCAGAAC